GCTAGAATTTATGAGATTAGGACCATGTTATCGCATGTGTTGGCTTTCCGTCTTTACCCGAGTCTTTACTCCTTTTCTAGGTGACTAAACTATGGCACAAAGGTCCAAAAGAAGGAACATTTGTACCCGGCTAAAGAGGAGCTAAAAAGCGCCAGTGGTCGCTTACTTGAGAGTCAGAGCCAGCAGTCGTTCTTTTAGGATTTTCAAAATGTGGTCTTTCATCATTGGTTGTTCTTCAAGTACGGCATTGAGCGATTCAACTTTGTCCCCCTAAAAAGCAGTGAGAACTTTCATATTGCCTTAGCTCCAGTTTACTGCTTAGAGACAAATGAGAGATTTGATTCATGACTTATTAAATTAGTTTATTGGTATAGAATTAATAGAAGTTAATATTGTGTAAATTTCCCAGATACGGTAAAGTTCTTAACCATATTTAATTTACCGAATACAACATTCTCTTTCTCAGGATTATACATTAACAGTAATTAACAGTATTAAATAGCACTCGCAGATAAGGACTCGTGTAGATGTTCATTCTCTACCTACAGCACCATCTTTTATTTATGTATAGCGATGACAGAAGCTTGCAGATATCAAGGTGGCAGGTTCATCAGTCTGTTAAAAGCTTCTGCCGGATACTACAAAATTCTTTGATTTCAAAGGTCAACTGTACATCAGGAACTCTTTTTACAAGTATACCGTCTTGAAGTCAAAAAGCAATTTATTCTACCACCTTTGAACAAAAACGTTCACAAGGAAAGCAGTCTGAAGTATACATTTCAATAATTCCATTAATCAAGTAGATTTCCAACCTCCAAAGAAGCAAGCCTTCATGTTATTTGAGGGAAACATGATCCGACAATTTAATCAACGTACAGTAGCTAACCTACAATACACTGGATGAGTAAGAGCTTAAATACAACTACACTTCTGTGCAAACTATACATATAGTCCAGATCTGAAACAGGGACTACAAAAACTCCTGCATAAGAAAACAATTATTAGGCGACAAGCAAAATGTGTCTTCGTGATCGACAGTTTTTTTAGTAATTAATTTAGTGAACAAAACCAAAACCAGCTGTTGTACGCGTCGCATCTGTCAGTGAAGCTGCCTTCAAAATCACTGTCATCAGAAGGCGATTTTCTCTACGAGGTCATAGTGTGCCATCAAATGCCTTAATGGCTGCATCGATCCTCGATCAAACAGTCAAAAATAAATATTTAAGCTTTTCAAATTAAAGCCAAATTTAATCACAAAATAATACCGACTGCTGCGCATACATGACTAAATGAACGATCTCCTCCAGAAAACACACTAAGCAATTTATGTACAGAACAGCAATATAGCAGATATAACAGCATACATGGTTACGAAAATCAAATTTACCTTGAAAGCAGAAAAACGCGGACCGTAAAATTCAGAGACCATGTGGTACCGCTGAAGTGCTGAGCAGTACCCACTGTACGCAAACTCGACCACGTCGGACGCGTACGTGTGATGGACGAGTTCAGGGATGTGCTTATAAAAGCATTCGATGACGTATTTACGCTGGAAGGGAGTTCTGAAAGAGGAAACTGCGCAATAACACAAGATGCGAATGATGGAGTAAGGGTAGGTCTTGTTTTATGCTGATTTCGTGTTCCGCGACACTACTGAAAGGATCATGTCAATTAAGCTGACTAACTGTTCCTGGTAATATTAAATTTTTGCATCGAGGTAATTCAGTCACTACGATGATGGAGCTCGTAGCCAAAAACCACCATTTAACCCTTGACCGAAATATTCGCCTTTTTTCGATAACATTTTTTATTTACTGTTATAAAGAAAAATATCCATGTCTACTTTCAAACATTATTATTATCACTGGCATTCATTTCAGGCATGAAACGAAATCTCGCCGTAGTTAGAAACTAGTTTTGATCCACTAACTGCGCCTGGCTAAACATCAGTGGTACTCAAGATTTTCTAGGTATACACATTAAAACTTCTTCAGAATAAAAATGGAGGCCCTTCTGGAGAATATTCAATTCATCTACCGGATAAGTTCACAGATGCTTCATGCTATGCTACGTTACCGGAAGATGCTAAAAATGACGCTCAGTGATGCATCGATATGAAAAACAATAGTTCTCACTTTCGACCAGTCACGACAAACGGCTGATCAACATTAGAATTAACACTGCGTCGAATCCATGTTGAAAAAGCCGAGGCACGGCGAAAAATTCATGGCTGGAAAGTATCAGGACCAAACTGAAGACAGGGCTTAGCCGCATGTTTCGACAAGCTGCAAACTAAACCTGGTACAAGGAATGACTTGCAATCATCTGACATTATACAGATTCGAAAGAAAAGACATTACTGCAAAACATATACATAATGGATTACTTCAATTTAACTGCAACGGCAGCTTATCCCTTGAAATTATAGTAGAACAAAAGCATGTCAATATTTGCCTCAAACCTGAACCTATGGATGGGTAGCAAGAAACAGCTTTAAACCAGCCCTTCGGAATACTTACCCATATTTCAGCATCTTTATTACAAAAAATCGGCCATACTTTGTTTTCGCAATTTCCAGCACATCGCCTATAATCAGTATTTAAATAACCGAATAACAGAAACAGTCATTATAATATGAACAGAAATGAAAATTCACAACAGTTATATAAAATGGTTTCCCAAAGATCCCTCGTCGCATATTACGTACAAACACCATTTGATAATATCCTATCTTTCTATTTCTTTCTATTTAATTCAGCGCCATCGGTTATAGGGCAGTTCGCAATGCGGTAACGTCTTATTCGGCCACTACCACTTCAGCTTTGTACAACTCTCGTTGGCATCAGTAATATTCAATGTTGTTCAATGACTGATTTCGTCGCACGTCTTACTCTGCCTCGCTTACAGTGTTTTGTCGTGCGATTCAATTAAACGCAAACTTCCATGTCTCACTCTCACACACGACTTCTTCACCACCGGATGACCTTACTGGCATTTTTGTTTGAGGTTTACATAAGTTTCACCATGATGAAGTGATATAAATGCCTTCATCCTTGCTCACGAGGATGGGTCTTATCTCAATTAAGAGAGCTTTGGCAAATGTCCTTTCTTCGTAGATGCTTCCCGTTGTAACTATGGTGGGTAGTTAAAATGAACACTGTGTGCGGTAGAAATTTGGTGAAAAGTCGTTGCCGAGTTTTTTCTAAGCGTTGCTTTTTTTCCTAGTTAGTCTATTGATGCTAGCTCTCTTCTTTTGATCAACCATCCTTGTTCGTAATGGTCGGGCGGTTTGATCAAGGTAGGACATCTGGCATTTATGGAGTAAATTACAGCGGGTCTGTCGTCCCCAGCTATCGTGTCCTTAGTCTTTGTCATGCGAGATTTTAATATATCTAATTTTAAGAAGGTCCTGATGTTTTTCTTTTCCAGCATACGTCTGATGATTGACTCTGAAATGACGGAATCAAAGGCATGCAGATGGTTGATGTCGGTTACCATTCGCATTGGTGGTCGACTCGTGATGTCGCTCCTGTTCATTTTTGACTTTTTGCTAAGCTTTTGCCTTCAAACTTCATACAAACAGCAACAGACAATTGTAGCTACATTCGGACTATCTCTTATCACCGTACCTCTGTATATCATATCGTCTGCAGTTGAGAAAAGTTGGTAATATCAGCCATTGGTCCTGCACCAAAACCTTTGCGCCGCACGTAATTTGAATAAAGTTATATCTTACTCATGAATCAGGCCAGGGTCAAGTACTAACATGCATAAATCAATCCATTTCAATAACCGCTCGTCTTTTCGGGATGCGGAGGTAGACGCATCAGACAATGCTTTCAGCGTTCCCGATCCTGTGCCAGTGTTTGAACTTCGGTAGAAGATAACCGGAACGTATAGCAGGGTCCTTCAGTACACATCCCCCATATTAATCCTGGTCGTCTCCGGGGTCTTCCGCCAGTCGGTAGGAAAAGTAGTAGCTGTTTCGCCTTCTTTTCTGCAAATATTCCCAACACGTGCCCAGACCATCGCAGCTGTGACTTGTCATTCTGGAGAAGCAGCGGCTGTACACCAAAGCTATCGCTGCTTTCTGTACTCCGGACCATATCGAATATGCATATTTGTCTATTTAATTCGAGAATATATTTCTTTTACTTACGCTACAAGCAAGATTCTTTGGTGACCTTGTTCAAGTAGTAAACTTTCAGCTTCAACTTCAAATGCACCTGCGTTAACTCAGAAACAATATATGTAAATACGTTACCTTTTAGTTCATCGAAAAGCTTATTCCGAATATCTCGGTTCTTTACAGCCATCAAACACTGAATGATTCGCACCGTGTCATGAGCAAAAATGATCTGCTTCGCCTTGCCCTGGACAAGAGCAAACAGCTGGGCGACAGCTTTCTCCCTGACAGCAGCTTGAACGGTTCGGCTAAAAGTGAAAAGATCAAACTTCACAATTTCAAAAAATCATAAAAAAACAACAGCAACGAGAGGCATCACAAGTATAAAAAGAAACAGAAGAAGCGAAGGAAGAGGAGGCAGAGGTAGAAAAGGAGGCAAAAAACAAGCAAAAAATGAATAAGAGAAGGAAGAGTAGGAAAAGAAAGGCGAGCAGAAAAGTACAAAAAGTGGAAAAACAAGAAAATGAGAATATGGATGATTAAAAATGAAAAGCAAAATAGCAAACAAAAACAAACCAAAAATGGGAGAGCTACAATGACTGAAAGAGAGGAATAGGAAGAGAAGAAAGACGAAAAAGTATGAGTAAAAGGTGAAGGCGTAAGAAATGACGAGTGAGGAGAGGAAAGAAGAGGAAGACATGTGAGAAGAGGCAGACAGATAGAAGCAGATAATGACGACGAGAATAAAGGATGAAAAAACCAACGAGAACAAGATGTCGAGAAAAGAAAACGAAGAAGCAAATGAAGATGGACGAGAAAGGAGCAAAGGAATGCATCAGACGAATAAAGACGAGATTAAAAGCAGAATTTATTATAAAAATGACGAAAAAACAAGAACTGAATGCAACAGCTTCAAGTATTGTATAATCATTCTTGCTTTATGTGGGGCATAATCATTTTTGTTTCTCCCATGCCATATACAACCGTTACTGGTGATTATTTGTATTCATTCTTTCATGTAGGATGGTACAATATTTTTTATATTTGTTCTAATGAAAAAACGTATAATTCCTTGAAGATCTATTTAAACGCACAGGTGTTTTTTTGCGAAAAGCTCAATATTCTTAATCCCAACTGGCGACGAACGCAGCCACATGACTGCATCGCAATCGACACATTAATTTAAATTACAACGGAAACTCATGGGAACCTCATTCGTTCCAGTCACGTACCCACAGCATACGCATAAATTTTGAACTGGCTAACTCGCAGTATACTTACCACTTCCAGACGGTTCTCAAAACATTTAAGGCAACGATTTTTAAACCACATTTTTAAGCAAACAGCTTTCTCAAAAATCATCACTGGAACAATACCTGAAATCTTTATACTCAACAAAATCTGTAAGGCCAAAACAGACCTATCTAAAAGCTTGCTTTAGCGGATAGTGGGTAAAGAATAAGGACAGAGCTTAATAACATAACTTAAATACAAACGACTATAACTAAATATAATCATAGCCTTAGAAATCAACAGTGGTGAAACGCCAATGCATCATCGCTAGACAGAGGTAACATCGTAAATTGCCACTCACTCCCGCACTTTTTCCCACAGTTTTTTCGCTTTGTAGATCAGCTCGTAGTTTGGCTTCTTCATTCGTCGCACTCGTTTCAACTCGTTGTGCATTTTTCGTCGACTCATCGGTGTGGGGTTTGAAGACTCCACTATCGAAGCATCGCATGAAAGGTCGGAATCTTTCCCTCCTTCCGGGGCAGTAGACTCATCGTGTTCGCTAATACCGGATGATGTTGCACTGGTATCAACAGTCAAACTCTCCAATCGCTGACGTTTCACATCATCCGCCATTTTCCGCCTGCTCATACGTGCTTCTTGAGGAGTCTCTGCTATGGAAGTATCCCAAGAGAGTTCGGATTCTTTAAACGAACTGGACAAGTCATCCATGCCGAACTTCATGGCAGCACTGCTACCCGCTGCCGAACTCTCAGCATCAACCACAGAAGCCTCCCCGTCAACACGGTCTTTAGCCCGTTTCTTTTTCAGAATCGACTTAATTCCACAGACTTCAGCCAAGGTCGAAGAAGAACTAGTGTTCAGCCGAAAAGGCTCATCTCCAGCATCGATCTTCATAGTTTCATCGGAAAAAGAGACCTGCTTCTTCGGCGAAACACCCGCAGTTTTACGGCTGCCCAGCGGCTCGTTGTACCACTGCTTCCTGTCATCGTTTCTGTTTGTATCTTTCTTCTTATCAAGCATCTTCTTACGCTTTGCTTGAGGGCCCCGTCCATTTCGATTGTTTCGCTTTGGCAGATAACCCAAAATCTTTTTCTTCGCGATCTGCTTATTTCGCCGCTTTCTCTTACTGTTTACTGACATCGTTGTGGCATTTATTCTAAAAGCGAAAGTACGATGAGATCGGCAAGTATATATTATCGACCTATACCCTCTGCTGCCAACTTTCTACAGGTTAAGGCAAAATACAATTAAAGTATGGTTGATGCCAAATGTGCATGGTTTTCCATTCTGGTAATTTAATATTCTTGCTGTTTTTTGTTATTTATTTTATCTGTTGTTATTCAATTCTAGATTCGTTTTGAACTTATCTGATTTGATTTGTTAATCAGATTTTTTGTGATTTGTCAATCAGATTTTTTGTATAAATGATATTACGACTGCAAACAAAAGTAAGAATATTACTAAATGGAAGTTTTCCTCGAGACGAGAAGGCTGCTGTTTGCAGACTACCTTTTCTTGGCATCTCCTGAAACTGAACTACAGCGCTCTCAGGAAAGGCTTGCAGCTGAGCGCGACGTGGCTGGCATGCGCGAGAACGTGTCTGAAATGAAAAGCCTAATGCTTTCTTGTTTTCCTGCCTGTTGTTCTCTTCAGATTAATGGAGAAGCAGTTGAGAAATTCAAGTACCTCAGGGTCGTGTTCACTGGCGACGGAAAATATCAGGAAGAAATGAACCGGCGAGCAGCCAGTGACGTTCTGTGTGAACTAGCTCAAACCACTTGTCTATAACACAGCTGAGTCTGAAGATAATCCTCTCGGTGTTCAAGTCGATCTTCACGACCATGCTCACCTTCGGATATGAATGGTGGGCTATGACTGAAAACCTTCTATCCACCTTGCAAGCGACTGAAATTGAGTTTCTGAGACGCGTCTCGATGTGGTTCGGAATCCAGACATCCGCGAACGCCATGTTGTACAGCCGTTGCCTGTTTAGACTGAGAAATCGCAGCTTCAGTGGTTTGAGCATATGTTGCGAATGCCTCCAGAAAGGAAGGCACTACTTTATGCCCAGCCGAACGGCAATAGGCCAGTGAACGATCAAAATTAACCTCCTGCAAATATATTTAAGGAGTTTGTTATAGAATCCGGTTGTCTTATGTCGAAGCTCAGACTCTGGCACAGGATCGGAAACGTTGGAGCACTGTTTGACCTGATAGTAAAAGTGGTTATATAAAATGAACATGAAGTTTTCCTAAAACTCTTTACACATGAAAAATACAAAGTAGATAGGTAAAAGCTTGACGGATTACGGACGTTAGAGCAAGCTTGAAAATCGTCATCAGCCTTTGATGTTGCAGTGCTGGATGCAGGCCTCTCCAAGAGATTTCGATACGCTTTTGCTTTGAACATAAGGTTTTGGTTAGTGCGTTCCTATTCATGCGAAAAAACAAAATTTCCGGTTAATGCATGCATCAGAAACTGACATTTCGGCTCCAAATTTGCGCCCTTCTGCAGGCACAAAGAACGACCCTCGATCTTTATCTAGGAGAAGATCAGCGTGAAAACGATGAAGCACCGGTGGAAAGGTACAATTCTACTAATGTCATCAAGGCATTTCGCGTAATGATCAATACAGAAGAGTAAAAAGAACTTTAGTCAAAAATGTAAAACCTTATGGCTGATGGTGTGACAGCCACATAACGAAGAGGATGCACTTCAGTTCACTTGTCATGGTGGAAACATTATTTTGTATGACATCATTTCATGAAGACGGATGCAACATTATCCGAAATATTGGAACATACAAATAATTGATTTGACGTTCCGTATCATTCAAAAAAAATTTTTCTACCTATTAACTCTGATATCGTATAAAAGACTCGACTTTCAGTTTTAAGGCATGATGTATATGTAGAATAAAGTTCACGAAGTGGCACACATGATAATTATCTCTACAGAATGCATGAAACTGTCTGTCGTTGAATATGCGACAACCATTCATGTCCATGAAGACTAAAATCATGTGAGTGGTGTGACTCACTCACACATTTTTTTGCCTTTCACACGTATAGATTTGCTGCAAACATTAAAGATGTTCTTGAACAGGTCAGCGATATGCACGATTTTTCATTCCTCCTATTCACTTTCGGCTTTATTGATTTTGAGCTTATTTCGCACAGTAACGATGCTATTTTTGCAGTATTACGTTGAAGCACTCATGAATCTTCGTACAGCAAGATTTTCGATCTAAGGTCATTTCTTACAGTTTAATTTGTGATACTATCGACAATTGTTTTAGAATTATCGCGATAAAGGCAGAGCCAAGTATTGAGATGAGGTTATCTGTTAAAATCTATTCGTACCTCTGCCAGTCTACCATCAGATGCATGGATTACAAATTAAAAAAGCATCCTGTAATCTCCGTTGCTAGGAAATGAAATAGATTTCTGGATATCTATAGGATTCCCAGTCATACGAGAAACTTTAAAATCGTATAACAGCTCCTTTTTAGTTCCTGATACCGGACTGAAGCTGCGTAAGCACACAGTAGCTACTGTTCATGATTTAGAGGTCGCAAATATGACGATCTGTGCATGTCAAAAAGCAGCTCTTCCTTGAGCAGAGGTTAGAAGATCCAGAGGCCCATTATGCCTTAAAGGAAGCGTACATAAAACATATCAGACCTACAGACTGAGGTTATCTCCTGTCGACGTTACGTTCAAACACGAACTCAAGAACATGAACATTGATGATATAGTTTAACACCACTGCATAAAGAAATGTTGCATTCGAAATTGACGAAATGATTTGTGCACTGCCGGTAACACATGGCAGTAGACAACAGAACAATTAGGCAATAGGGCCATCTAATTCGACAGCTAGCTCTCGCTGATTCCACCCGTCGATCTGTAACAGACGTTGTGATCAACGTCTACGCCATGGACGAATGTTTGCAAAGTGCAAATATTCTGTTTGATAGCAATAACTAGACTTTGACAGCGTCCAGGTATAAGCGGATCAATATCAAAACTGTTTCGGTAGTAATCCCAAAATGTAATGGATATTACTGTGTTTATCAACAAGTTTTAATTGTAGCAACGCAATGATCAGTTTTAAATCGAAGTACTGCGGGTTACATAATACCATTGAGTGGTAGCTTGCTTAAAGTTCCTTGGGCAGCTAGAACCAAGCAGATTGGGCGACTACGCCGAGCGAGTTCAAAGATGCAGGACGTATACTTTTGTAGACGTCATGGAACCACGTGACTCACTCATGTCAAGGTAAACGATTTACTTTTCCTCCTAGTAATGGTTCACATTAAATGCTTCATATCCAGTAAATTCAATCTCTAAGACATTTACAAGGACAATTTTAGCACTTTGAAATCGGTGTATGCAAATGTACATTCTTCTTGTGTGTAGCGGAGACTAGAAGTCCAAATTCGACACCACAACCGGCCTTAACATCATTGCGATTCCTTGTTTAAACCGCACTTTATACTAGTCGAAAATATTGTCGCTGTGCAAATATTTATGAATGCATCTTAACCATTTGAAAGAATAGAAGTATTCAGCTGGGTATTTACCGTATTTGCCTGTAAGGTGTGAACTAATAGAACTGTGCCCAGTACTTGGCTGTCGAACAGAGCGAGCTCAAAGAGTGTTGCAGTAGATTCTTGGTAGCTTCGACAGGGTACTGAAACTTTCGGTTGTAATTTTATCTGAAATGCGCATCAGTTAATGCCTGGTGAAGAATTATTCAAAAAATATCTGACATTCAGATTATGATCAATCAAAAGAAATCAGTTTTTAACATAATGAAATCTATGGTGAGGAGCCGAAAGACACAATGCTGCTAATGTTTACAAATTATAGATAATGTTTACGAGTTTGTTGCCATGGTGACGCGAACTTTCAGCACTAGTTTCAGCCAAATAACAGTTTCTCAACCAAATTTAATAAGACAAAAAAATCCACAAAGAAAGTTAACTGTGGAAACCAACTGACTCATAGAACATAACAGATTCAATAATACCAAGAAAACTTCATCAAACTTTTTGGCATAAAAAAATTCTTCTAGCAATATTACCATCACTCTCGACGCAGCAGAACCAGCGAACCTAAAGTCACTAATATGATAACCTTCAATTTTGGGTAATCGTTCAGCAGGATGGTGACCATTCCTACGTAGGGCAGAAACCCACGTGCCCGGCCAACCACGTCCTTGCGTTCTAGCCAGTACTGTCCTGGTGCGTACAGGCCTCGGTCGTCAACAGCATTGTTATCGCCCTTGGTCAAGAATCGTACTGTGCCGTTCTCTTTCTCGTGTACCTTTACAACGCGATGGACGATCGGTATGTCGCGACCTTCGATATTGAATACTGCAATGTCGCCGGCGCGAATCGGCTGAGATTCGTAGTTGGTCAGCAACAGCAGATCGCCGCGATGAAATGCCGGCTCCATGCTACCGCTGAGCACCACCACCACAGGACTTTCGGAGCCGGTAATCGCGATCAAACCCTTCCAGATCATCAGGGCCGATCCGACGATCATCGCGCAATTCAGCACTTGGTAGATAACCTGCCGTTTGTTCATCCGCTTCACCTCATCGAATATCGACAAGCCCATGAGCTGCCGTATGAATTCCATGTCGGCCTTCTTCGTTACCTCCTTAACAAACTCACGGTTATTACGATGCAATACTATATTCGAAATTATCCATTGTTTCATACCTTAACCAGCCTGCATATAAATCTGGTTGATTCAAAATTTATGAAAAAATCGGATTTTCCATTAAATAATAATTCTAGTATGAAAAAAACTGACAAAAGAAACTGTCTAATGCAATTTAACTACAGTAGATTCATTTTTAAAGACAAACAGAAATTTTGATAATCTAACAAGGTAAATAATTGAAGCATTAGCCTTATCATCTACGTACTTCATATATGAAATAGCAGTTATCAATCTTAGCATATCTTCTTCATCTTCCATCGCCGCTTCTCCTTTCGGGCCGCGGAGGCGCACGCGTCAGACAGTGCTTCCAACGTTCCCGATCCTGTGCCAGAGTCTGAGCTTCAGCAAAAGACAAATGCTTCTCGAACAGATTCTTTCCATATGTTTGCACCAGGTTAACCTTGGCCGTCCCCTGGGCCTTTTGCCGGTCGGATTTCCAAGGAGCAGTTGCTTAGCCTTCCTTTCTGGAGGCATTCGCAACACATGCCCAAGCCATCGTAGCTGTGACTTCTCA